AAAGAGAATGAGCCATATGTTTATTAAATGATGTTTCCATATGGATCGATATAGTAGAGTATGTGCTATCTGACTATGACTATGACTATTAGCATATTTCAGCTCTTATCTAGAAGCATCAGAGAGCATTACTCCAACAAAAAGACTCAATTTTTTCTGTGTGCAACAGTAGTAGGAATCTAAACCAAGTTTTTCAGTGCCTTTTTGGCTACCTTTTTGAGCTATTATTGTAATTTGTTTTAGTTAGTATTCATTTCTACAAAGAATAATTAACAGATTCGTGATCTAAGGATAAAATTACGTTAGATCGTATAAGTTTACTGATTACAATCCGTAAGTACATTGATGAGCATCTAGAGAAATGAGTAGCGACAGATCTTTAGTACTACAAAAGCAAAAGCGCTGAATGAAAATTCGTTTTTTAGAAGATTGGAACTGCAAAGTATCTTCCACCACTATGAACATTATTCATTAGCAAACATATTCCATGGTGTTTTCATCGAAATACTTATTTTCGTATGTTTGTTAGTCACTGTAGTCATTGAACTTTCTTTCCTGTTCAGTAGCATTATTTATATTAGAATAAAATGGGGAAAAGTAATATGTATGTAAATAGTAAAATATGACTACATTATCTAGGTTGATATTGTCTGATTGAGGAATGAAAATAATTCCTCGAGCATTCAGAGAACGTATGGAGGACTGGTTTGCTAGAAAAGGATTATCTATGCATACTGATGTCTTCTTTTATCTGGATATAGTAAAGTCCTGTATTTCGAGAGTCACATTTTTTTTTAAGTGGATCGAACTTCTCTAGATATGATGACTGTGGTTAATGTATTTGATAATTTGAAACAGCAGATTCGGCAAGATTTTCCGCATGTAACAGAATTACCAATTCGAAGTGACAACGGTGGATGTTATGCTGGAGGAGCTATAATTGTTGCAAGGGAGCAAATATGTGATTAGTATAGTTTTGAATTAAAAACAATTGATTCCATTGAAGGACAAAGATCAGTGCGACTACGATGCAGCGGTGGCGACATCTTGTATGCGCAGATATTTAGACAAAAATCACGCATTATTAACAGTTAATGACATGAAAAATGCACCCATCAGTCATTTAGTGAATTACGAATGTCAAAATCCTAAACGATGAAAGTTAATCACGACAGCAGAATTTCAAAAACTAAAATAAAGATATAACATCATTCTGCACCGTTTGACGTGTCTAATAATATTAGGTTTTGGCAATAGTATAACATTGGAGACAGAGGACTAGAACCTGTACGAAATACTACTTTTAGGTCCTCATATACAAATGATAATTTATTTAATAAGTATCTATATTCCAGCAAATCGCATGATGAATTCCAAAAAATATTCATTTTATTTTTGTTTAGGTTGGTTTGCACCAGAATATTCTCCCATCTCTCCAGTATTTTTGTAGATAAAAAAGTTAGAAATATTCATTATTGTTCTGTGTAGGCGCCCCGTAGACCGAAAAGTGGACCTTTTCCGGTCGGTAAAAATTTTCCGTGCAGTTGATAAAGCCTTTTTTTACGCTGTATAAGCACCGTCGAAATATGAAAACTACATCAGTCGATAGAGGAGAGCGCGGGTTTTATTTTGGTAAAAAGTAATTTTGAAAAGCTTTTTCCTTAGGGTGAAAACGCGACTTTAAGCCAAAAGTGTCATACTCTTCAGTGTGGCCGCAGAATCTCGAGAATGAGTAGGTGAAAAAAGCTTCTGATTAAACTATTCGAAAGAGCGTTCAAAACTGAGTCATATGAATATAGTCTGAAAATTAAATAAAAGAATTTGACCCATCTTTCAATCCCAAAACTGACATCACAGAGGATAATTCTTTCTGTATCGTACTACCACTCATTCGAAAGAGAATTCAATTCTGAACAAGAATATTATATTTAAAAAATTTTCTAACATCGGCGCGGACGGTAAAAAAGGGTTGCTGGAAAACCAAGACTCTCAAAACTAATTCTCTGGGTTTGGCCAAAACTTTTAACGACAATTCCATCCGATAAAGCAAATATTTCTGGAAAAAATGAGAGGACTCCGAGTTTTCCATGCCCCTTCTTCATCGAATCGCACTCAATTTACGAAAGGCCCCAAAGGTATTTTTCTACTGTTTTTAAAATTTCAATGACTTTACTCTGGTTGACGGTTTGGAATCTTTCGTAAATTCGGTGCAGTTCGCTGAAGAAGGGTCATGGAAAACTTTGAGACCTCTCACTTCGTTTAGAAATGTTTGCTTTATCGGATGGAATTGTTCGTTAAAAGGTTTTGGTCAAACCCAGAGAACTGGTTTTGAGAGTCTTAGTTTTCCAGCAACCCTTTTTTACTGTCCTCGCCGATGTTAGAAAACTTTTTAAATATAATATTCTTGTTCAGAATTGAATTCTTTTA